CATGTGAATGAACAACTAGAACAAATTATATTTGACAAGGGACTTCTGCCCTGCTTCTCTCACAACTATACCAGACCCTGAACATATTTGCACCGTATTTATTTATAAGTCATTTCTCTCCCTACTACATTTTATAGAATAGTGTCCTAAAACATAAATGCTTTTAAAAATTATTTCAATTGTTCAAATTACTACTTTAGCTCAGATTAATAGTAAGTTTAGAATAATGTATGGAATTATAACGACGTTTCCATATTCTACTTGCTAATAATAAAAGTTAACGGATCTGGTAACTGATCATACTTTAAAAGTACAAAAATAAATGAATAATTTACAGAATGAGGTGACAAAAGAGATTTGTGTAAGAAAGATATATTTAAGCAAGAAGGGTTTCCATATAAACAAGATGTGAGCAGAACACTGACCCACAATTCTGATGATTTGAGGAATATTTTCTAATCCTGAGAATACTTTTTATTTGGCTAAAATCTAATCATAAAAGTAAGCATTAAAGGATCCCCAATGTTAATATTTGTATTTCATTATTTATAAAATTTATAATTTTGTAAGTATAAAAGTCCTATGATTGACATTAGGTTTGTATTTTGTATGCTTGCCTTGCTTTCAAAGCTTAGATGAACTGAAGCTTCATTATTAGAACTGTTCCTGCTTTAAAGATGCTGAAGGTAGTATGTATATATTTTAGATTAGCATGTCATCATGCTTTTTTCTGTCACAGGGTAGTCATGTGACTTTGGAATTTGCATAGCTGAACAAACATATTTTTGTAGTTTAACACAGATATTATTCTTACTGTTCTATTTTTATAAGTGCACATATTCAGTACTGCTAAAAAACAGTTGGTAAACTAACTGCATTAACTTGTCTGATCAACTGGTTCCATTCTCAAAATACAGTATTCTGACAGAGGTCCACCTGCACCATTTTTAATATTATGATCACTATCTACTATTTCAGAGCTTTCTGCTAGTATTGTTTCAACATCACATATGCTACAAGATCTAGCATATCACATACAGCCACAAAAATAAACTCCCATCACACAGAAAAAGGCATAAATAATTCTGTAATAAAAACAGCAATAAACAACTAATACAAAACATATTGAACCCTTTCCACATAACTGATAATGTATGTTTCATTAATATAGTTCAATAACTTCAACCAGGGGACACTCAATCCATTACAGCATTTACAGGAAATAAATGTACGAATATGTTAGGCAATACTCACAATAATTCTTTAATATGGGATTTGTGTACTCATAGAGCAATCTTCCCTATGAAATATTTGATATCTCAGAAATTGCAAATACTACTATATATATTTACAAAATCAGCATTAAGAATAATTTCTAATGCTTACCAGCCTTACTATCATTCATAGTGCAAATGCATCCAAGATAAAAAAACTTAAAAGGATCTCAACATACAATGAAGAACTGATTTTACATACTTCTTGGCAAAAGACTTCAATATTCCAAAAATCAAGAAAAATGCATTGTAAAACATGTTCAGAACAATAATTTTGCAGCAGCTGCTCTAAAGAATGCAAGAGAACCAAATCAACTCTCCCACAAGAAGTCCAAGTGGCAGATATTAAAGGACCGTTTGAAGTGTTATATTAAGAAATAGCTTATGTTGATGGCAATTTGTGAATAAAATTGCGAAGAGCTGCTAGCTGGATATATTTACAAAATACACCTAACCATTAAAGGCAGGCATGTGTGGAAGCTCTCATTTTCTCTAGAAGCATACATATTTATGTATATTTATGACGTCCAAATTACAGATGTGCCCCTTACTAATGAGTTGTGTTTAAAAATCGCTAAGGAAAACCAAATCTTATTGATCTTGCTAGACTTTTGTGTGGCATGGCAATGTTGTTCTGTGCCTCCTCTTCAGTGTTGCTTGCTTTGTCTTAAAAGAAAATAATATAAAACATAGTAACAATGCTACAAGTGGACCCCTTAAGAAACCTCCTTGGCAAGCTCCAGCAGGTCTCATCAAAGCAGATGGATAAAAGAATAGAGACATATCACTGAAGTTCATCATTGTGCTCTACTTCATTCATCCAACGTAAGTTCTGCAGTCCTAAAAGTGCTCTTGTTGTTAGATCACAATTAAAAATACTGACATGGCAATAAACTAAATATTAGATATAAATAATAGATACCAAGCAATGTCAGAGTAATAATGATGATTGCATACTTTACTTGTGAATTGCCTTGAGGAATCCAGGTTGTCAATGTTATTAGCATGATGACTTGTGGTTTTATCTGGCCGTTTCTTAAAAATATGTAAAAGATTTCAATTTGAATTATTTCAAATTCAAAATACCATTTTGGATGGAAAATTGGGTTGTTTAACTGCTTAAGAAACATCCTATGTCTATAACAGGGGTTTAAACTCAGAACATTTCTATTACAGCTTGTTCTATATTCACAATAGCTGTTTCACACTTGAAATGTGACTTTGTGAATTCAAAACGGTTCAACTTTGAAGCATTTTGCACGTCTCAAGTAACTGCATGGGATACCTTAACTCAAACTTCTATGAGTATTGGTTGTCTTGACAATTAAATGTCCACCTTCAATTCTATACCATTGTTTGAAATGAAATGAGAAGAAAAAAGAGTGACGATCCTAGTAAAATTGATAAAATTCAGAATTAATCAGAATTAATTCAGAATTAATTATAAACCTTTAATTTTGTTTGGTAATAAGCCTCCTAGGAACAGCAAGTCTTGCTTCTAAATACTTAGATTAGGATATGCAACATCAAATAATCCAAGTTCAGCACAGCTTATCTGGAAATTCTTATAACGATCCAAAATATCAACAGATTACAGCTATTACAGCTTTATATAGTCCACAACTTAGAACCATTTATTTATTGACCATTTAAAATTACAACAGCACTGAAAAAAGTGACTTATGACCAGTTTTCACACTTATGACCAGCGCAGCATTCCTTTGGTATGTGATCACAATTCAGATGCTTGGAAACTGGCATGTATTTATAATGGCTGCAGTATGATTACCTTTTGGCAATCTTCTGATAAACTAAGTCAATGGGGAAGCCAGATTTACCTAATGATTCTGTTGCTAACTTAATAACTGCAGTGATTCACTTAACAACTATGATAGAAAGGTGATAAAATGGGGCAAACCTCATTAAACCACTTCTTGCTGAGCAACACAAATTTTGGGAATATGGATGCATATGTAAGAGATTTTGGAAATAACTGGCCGATGTGCAGAATTTTTTCCTGACAATCCATCAAAATTCAGATGTAAACATCTTTCAAAATTATTATGAATTTTTTTTCAAGAGAATATTATCTTACAATTAGCAGATACAAAAGTTTTTTTAGACTGGCCATAATGTAATCCAATATAAACAATATCAAAAATTTCAATTTTACTCGGCCACCACACATCAAGAAAATCTTCCATCACTTTATTTCCATCTCTTAAATCAATGGTCTTCAAACTTGGAAGCTTTTAAGACTTGTGGACTTCAAATCCCAGAATTCCTCCTCCAGTCATGTTAGTTCAGAAATTCTGGGAATTGAAGTCTACAAGTCTTAAACTTGCCAAGTTTGAAGACCTTTATTATAAGTTATACAGGGTCTCCAGAAATTAGTTCCAAGGTTAACTTAAAGAATCAACTGTTCTCCTAATAAATACTTGCCTAAACCAACATTTAGAATTGCCCAATCAAGGATTCTTATAATTTTTTTTTTTTAAAAACCCAGTTCATTGAATTCCTTTAACAAAACAGGTTATCACTTCCCATTAAGCAGTAATTCACCGAGCTGCAACATGTTTCAGAGTATAACATGAATATAAGCAAAATAAATCAAATTAATAAATTCAGGAAAATAATTAAAGGGACATGTTTTTGAGTCTTTCCATCTCACACAATACGGGTATGAAGATGATATAACTGTTCCAAGTAATATTGCTGTTTCCATTATTATAAATCAACTGAAGAGCACTGAAGAAAGATTCTAAAGGTACCTCCAGATTTCAATTTTAATAACTTATGAATTGAACAATTTTACACACCAATATCATATAGAATGATTTTTTCTTAAATCATTGTTCTTAAATCATTGTGAACAGTGTTCTACAAAAGGTATATCTTGCAATTTTTTTCTTATTAGGCCTTAAATGACCTCTTTATTTTTTAGTACAGTACTTATGCTTTTTACACTTACTTTATCATCTATCTATTCATAGGAAAACATATACAAAAGTATTTGCTTGCAAGGAAAGATTTAACGATTAGCCTTCAGACAGAGTAATATATACTTTCAGTGAATAAATGTAGCAAAACATCTGTTTTGCACACCACTTCCTTTGTGAAAGGGGAGGGTGCAAAGAACAGAAAAGTATCCTTTTGATAACAGAGAAACCTCAAGAAAGCTAAGCAGACATCAGTAAACTGAATCAGATGAAAATTCGCTACACTTTTATCAAATGTAAACCAAAAACAAAAAACATACCAAGAAATTAGGAGTGGTAGAAATATTTTTAGTGTCTCTTTAGTATGTTAATTTTATAATTGAGACATAATTCCATATTACAGACCTCAGTTATCACTAAAATTATCACTTTGTTGTAAGTGAAAAGCAAAATGACATTCTAGGTAACTGCAAATATGCCAACCCCATACAATAACCATCCCTCTAAACTTCACAAACCAATGATTTCACTAGAAAATAAAAAGTAAAAACTGTATTTATTACTTAGCTGCAAGTTAAGCAATATCCCAAAGATATATGTATTTTAGCTACATTATTACATCACAATGTTCAAAGTTTACATACTAAGCATAAGCTTTTTCATTTTTAATTGAAAACTGAAAATATTATTTCTCTTTACATACATATATAACTAAGCATGCAAATCTCAACTTAAACTATTAAAATATATTATTTATATCTAGAGTTTGTTGAAGAGCCTCTCTTACCACAATTGCATTGGAAGAGTGCACCAATGGCTTCAGTTCATTCAAGTCGTTCTCAGCCTACAAAATGCAATGTTAAAAACAATTAAGAAAAATAAAAAAGGTAAACCAAAGGGTGAAATATACTGTAATATTTATAAATTAATAACTTAAGATTTATTTTTGTTTACTCAGAATTAAGCCTCATTGTAATGAACAAATTGGATTTACTTTTAAGATACTATGCATAAGGTTGCAGTTATTGTTACAATTAGGCAACCTTATGCCTCTTTTATTACCTTATCCCATTCTCCTTCCATGACATGATTGCGGAATTTGGTGGCAGAAGGGTGTTCTAAACGACATCCTGACTCTTGCATGAGAAGATCAACAGTCTGACTGTGAGAGAGAGGCATAGTGTTTTTAAAAAGTTGACCAGTCTTTATTCTTATCCATATAGATAAGACATCCAGTGTAGCCTTAGTACAACATGTTTTTAAAAAATATAACAAAAACTACCCATAATTTTTATAAATTCTAGGAAATATGACATATATTTCTACTATTTTCATGATAAATATTTTCTGTCAGGAAATACCTTAATAATCCATAAACCTATATTCTTACTTTCCCAATGATTTAAAATGAAAAATACTGTTTTCCTTGTGTTAAAACTCTAACAGTCAAAAGGTTTGCCTCTTGCTATAAACTTGACTTCTGTCAATCATATGTTTACTGTGTTCTAAGTTAAATATCAACCTATTCCTGCAGTGGTTCAAGTTCTCACCTTATAAAGACCTTCATTTTCCAAGGATATACTTATGCATAAATTCTCAAAATTAAACTAGCTACTACTATAATACATTCCTCTCAAGTTTGTTTTACTAATCTAAATTACTGATGTACCATGTTTGCTTTTCACCCTCCCCCATTCCAGTGCATGCCTATTACTCAGCTCAAAGTACTGCAGTGCTGCAAGCTACATAAGAGTCAACATATCTGACATTAATTTTAAGTACATTCCAAGTGGATCAGACACAGGTATGTTCACGTTCAATTTTTAATACTATCAATCTACAGTTTAAAATATTAGTTTAAACTTATAGAATATCTATATGGGTAGGCTGTTTTGCTGTAATACTTCTGTATTAGATCCATCTGAATTTTTGTTCATACACTGCTGTATTCAAAATGCTGGTCTCCCAATATAATCTCTGTAATTTATTTGTCTCTAAATAATGTGCTGTTGGGCCTCACAAAAATTCTACATGTTTTCTTAAAACGAAGTTCCCATTGGACTAGGCCTGAAAAATAGGCCCTATCTCTCACTGCCTTCAACTCATACACTGTTTTTATTTATCCCTCACATTTTTGTCTTTGGTATTAAACCATAACTTACTAATGTTGAACAAAACAAATATCTCCCGATTGTACTACAGATCAACATTCAAAATGTTGGCCTTTTTCCCCTTAGGTATATAATTGATCTTTAAAATAAACAAGTCTGTCAGAGTTATTGTTCTCATCAACACAAACCTAGATCCATATTCTCGCCAAACAATCATCCGATGTTGCTTCCTACAAAAACAGATATTAGCAAGAGAAATATCACCCATCTACTCTCAAAATCTCCCTCTCCCTCCCCAAAAAGGCCAGCCGAGGAAGGGGGCTGGAAGTACAACATGGTGGGCAAAAGTCATCCTCCGGACGATCTCCCCCCACCCCCACATTCCTCAGGTTTAAAGCCTACGCATTATTTGGGAGGTGGGATGGATCGCAACACCTATTCGCCCCACTTACTTGAGGCCCAAACCGTGGAGGTGCTGCCCGATGAGCCGGATCACGTCCTCATCAGATTGCGAAAGCCGCTTCTTCTTTTTCAGGGCACTGCTGCCGACGCCGACACCACTGCCTCCCCCCATCTCGAGCGCGGAGCCGGCGGGGGCCGAGACCCCATTATTGACACTCGGGCCGCCACCGCCGTCGCCGTTGTTGGCCGACGGCAGCAACCCATTGGCGTGAGCTAACTGCTCTCCAGTGGTCAATCCCGACGAGGCCTCGCCGTTTTGGGCGTTGAGGCAGCCCATATCCGGACCCTGTGACGACGATGACGGCGGCGGCGGCGGCTGTTGCTGCTGACCCCCTCCTGCTCCGTTGGCCTGCATGGTGCTGCCGCTGGCTCTGAGGGGGGTGGCAGCCGGGGGGGCAAGCCCGCAGGAGAGCGAGGGGGATGAAGACGAGGTGAGGCCTGCTCTGCCCGCGGAAGCCCCGGGCTCTCCTGCTCCCTCCGCCGCCGCCGCCGGGGAAGCCCGCGCTTTCTTCCGCGGTGGCGGGGAGGCTCCGCCGGTGTCCGAGTCGGAGGAGGAGGAAGCGGAGGCCAGAGTTTCCTCGCCGAGAGCGGCCGTGGTGGGAAGCCGGGGGGGTGGGGAGTGAGGAAGGGGAGGAGGGGTAGGGTGGGATGGGGGAGGTGGCGGGGTAAGGAACGGGGAGCTGTTCCTCTCCCCGCGGCTCTTTGACAGCAGCAGCTGCTGCTACCCTTTCTACGGTCCCGCCAGAGAACGCGGCCCGAAACAACCCCCGCCTGGCAGCCCCAGGCACACAGCCCGCTCCTCTCTACTAGCTGGTCGGTTTGAGCCTCTTCTGCCTAGCTGCAGCCTAATGGAGTCTGGGCCGGGACGTCACAGGAAATTCCTATACTGCCCCTTCACTCACTTCCGCCGCCGCCGCCTGGGGTAGACTTCGGGTTATGGCTGCGGAGGAGCTCGGGACGGTCTCGACAGCACCACCCCCTGGGCGGGCGCAGACCCCCCCCCCCGACTCAGGGGGCTTTTGTCATAACACCTGCCGGGGGGGGGAGGGGACTTCTGGTGATGAGTCGCTTCAGATGTCCATATAGGGAGTAGGGAAAGGCTGCAGGTAGAAATACCAATAAACGGTACGTTCACTTGGACGTCTTTCTAAAACAAAAACATTCTTTTTCCGTGGCTCTGCGGTTTCAAATTTTGTACGTCCTTCTGTATTATCCAGGTCCGATTTGAAATCTCTTTCCTAAATAAGAAAAAAGCCTTGTGGCTTCGTAGCCTTAATTATATTTCCTTTTAAGATACCAACTCCTTTGTTTTTAACTATCCCAGACTGACAAGGCACCTCTTTTAAAAATGACCTCAGTGCCTTCTTTTTGTACTTTGTCAATAAATATCAAGATGTTGTGCGGTGATATTTGTAAAAGAATGTGAGTTATATAGTTTTCCCGAAGTAGCCGAAGAAAAACTTTTTCTCCTTTATTACCATCCGCAGTTCAAAACAGAACTATTCATTTGGTAGGTTAGATGTGGCAAGCTCGCCTGGCATAGCTGTAGAAAACTTTTTCCATTTATTTTCAAAAGTGAAAAAAATCAGGGTGTGGTATTGGAGGAAAATTATAACATTGAAAGAAGAAAATACAGTATTTAAAACACATTGGTAAAAGCTTCATATGGACTTTTCTGTAGGGCAGATAGGTAGCCTCAGCTATGTTTACTTTCTCTTTAAAAATTACATAGTTCTATAATAGGACAGTTTACATGACATACTAAAGCATAATATAGTACCATATTCCATCCCCCAAAACTACCGTATTTGTTATACTGTCACCCCCTACTACCTCACTCTGTTCATTAAAGAGGGTAGAAAGCTTCCTAACACTGTGTTGTGTAAATTCAAAAGTTGCCAGTTGTGGAACATTTGGCCTTGAGTTCCTAGGGGAAAGACAGGATGTAAATTCAATAAATATAAATGAAACCCACATTTCCTTAATATAATCAACCTAAGGTATGCTTTTTAACCACAGTGGGGAATAAAAAACTGCATGTATGTTTTTATTCATCAGGCTGACTTGCTCAGTTTGTCCTGTTAGCCATAGTAGGACAAGCAGTGCTAGATCATATTATGATATTAAGGAACCAGCCTTTCTGTCTTCCATGTTCTGGGATTTCATTTCAAGCCAGGCTGATCCAGGTTGGTTTGATTGTAGACACTGAGAGGCTTAGTGCATGGGAATGTTTACTCTTTTTAAGTATACAGGCCACACTAAAAATTAAAGCTAGTTAGCACTTCCCTTTTCAGGTCTGTAACTCAGCACCAAGAACTATGAGCCAATCGGTACTCACTTAACTGCCAATTACTCAGAATATCAACCTGTTCTTGAGTATTGCACCTAAAAAATACATCCCTTCTTAAACACAAACATACACAGAGAAAATTGCTAGCATTTATGTGACAAAACCTCATTTTCCTTTCAAGCTCCTTAGGCTGATTTAAATACTATTCTTTATGTTCGCCCCATGCCATCCCACCACAGTAAAATTACAGGAGGCCCTGGGGAAAAAATATAAAATTAAGTGTCCCTTATAATACAGTTATAAAAATTAGGATCATTCTGGTAACCAACCTCCAGTGAGAATACAAACCACTCCTTAAAATCAGTATAGCCCTGTGCTATAGCTTTTGTAGAGGCAATTTCTGCTTAAAATGTTACTTCCTCATCAGTGAATAGAACACCATGGATACAGGAATAATTCATTAATCATCACAATCATCTATGACTTATTGTGGGCACCCATTATTAGGTTTGTACCCCTGTCTGGAAGAATCTGTAGTCAATCTAGCATTCTTTCCTTGCTGAGATTGACTGAATGCCTTTGGAAGTTTACAGTAGATCATGAATATATACACAGCCTCTTACGTATTTCCTTACAACTGGTATTGAGAGGCATACATTTTCCAATACTGGACATATAAAAACTCAGTTAATGAATGATCCTTATGAAGTTGCCATTGATAGCTTCTTTATTAATTTATATTTTTAAAAGAACCACTATGCCTGAAAAATGCAGTAAAATATTAAATAATTTCATATGTGATACAATAGTGTACACAAGAATAATTAGACATGATTATAACATTCCAGGCATTATTCCATTCATGGTCATTGTCCACACAAAACATGTCATATCTGACAAAGAATTAATGATTTGCTGACTGTTATATTGAGTGAAAAATAAGAATATAAAAGATGTCAATATGTAAATTCCACAGAAAATATAGTAAATGTGTTGTGCTATATGAGCTGCTAAATGATGCTTGAACTACCGTGCCTGGCCAAAAATTCAAAATTGTACAGGATGTGTAGACAAGAATGCCTCCTATTTGTAACTCTTTTGTATTTTCCTACCACATTCCCATTCTTTCTCCATTCCAGAAATGATCTATTAAAAAAGAATAAAAAAGGAACACTGACAAAATGCCTTTAAATTCTTGTGTAATGCTAGTTGTTCTAATTGCCAAAATGCTGCAAGTACTGCCACATCACCAGCATTTCCACATTTTAATTCCCTACAAAGCAATTTGAAACTATATGAAAGGAAATTAATCCGATCAGTCTCCTGCTCCAGTGTCACTTTTATGCCATAGAAAAAGGGAAAACAAAACAAATCAGGACTGGGACACTCTCCTTTCAGGCTTTCCAGTATATGCATGAATTTGGTGAATGAGAAGGGCTACAATGAGAAGTTATGCAAGGAAAGTATTTATAACAAATACCAGTAAAAGCTTATCTTTTCCAAAGGCTTCCAAGCTGCTTTGCTTTCAATGTTTCTCTATGTTTAAGAGCCCAGGTAAATTGTGAAGGTAAAAAAGGTTAAAAAAATTAATATATCAGCATTTTTGTCATCAGCTAGTTTCCTGAATACCTGTATCCAATACTGTTGTTGTAATGGCTGTGGGATGTGTGTTGGGTGAATCAACAAATTATCAGTTCTAACCAATATTAAGATAGGAATATAATGCTGAACTCCTGGGGCGGGGTGAAGGAGAAAGAGGCACTAATGAATATCTTAAGCTCCAAAAGGTGACACAAGGCAAGGATGTCCACCAAGAGAGAAATTAATTGTCTGCAGCATTTCCTAGGAAAGTAGAGCAAAGTCAGAATTAAACTGATCCAGCTTCTCAAACAGACGTTGGGATTGGTCTAGTTTGGATTGATCTCACAAAGTAGAACAAACCACTAGTGAATAAATGCCTATGACTAAACAAGATATAGCTAAAATTAGCCGGTCTGGATCATACATCATTTCAAGATTGGTTTGCTTTAATCTTGATAAATATTTTACTAATATTTAGTATTTTAAATATTAAATACTTTCCGATTTCTAGAATATGCACAAATTCAAATAATACTAGACACATACAGTAACTTGGTTCACTTATCATGTTAAGGCAGAATGTTGCTTGCTTAATTTTAACTTAGAATATGGTATGTACCCTGTGATAGAAACAAAACCTAAAAACCCTGTTATATAGCTGGGATGAGCAAAATGTTTTTAACAGGAAATGCACTTATTTTGGGGGAAAAGTGAATATTTGTGGTATTCATTGATAAACTCGCAATCATAATATTTTTCTGTTGCATATTTTGTATAGTCTTTCCTTATATCTCTTCCTATTGTTTTTTCACATATAATAAATATGGGCCCTTTGAAGAGATTTTAAAATGGGATTATATTATTTCTCTTCGGCAAAAAGTGTAATACATTTTTATAAGATATAGGTGTTATTCACCGTGCTTTGTCTAATTCCACTTTATAAAATGTGATTACTTGCAGTCTCCTTAAATAATAGAACTTCAGGGACTAGTCCAGGCAGTTGCCAGGAATCAAAAACTTACTCAAAGGCACACAAACTTACATAATACTTTGAATCTCAACGGAGTGCAATTGTGTTTCTTATTTCCACCAATCTATTATTGTGGGTAGCAATCACAGCCATTATGTGTTGTATACAGTACATTATAAAAGAGATTTGTCTTCAGATTTGGAACATTACAAATTTAAGACTGTCTTATATCACATTGGCTGATGCAATGAGCTTTATCTGTACTCTAGTCACAATAATATATATAAGCATTTTACAACAACTTTCTATAGATATATAACAAATAGTGCATCCATTACTGTTTAAAAAAATATTCCATCTATTGTTGGATATGTCATTAATTCTCCCCAAATTAGCTTTCTATTTAATTATTTGTGCTACTTTATTTTTTTAATTTAATGTTGTTTATTTCGTATCAGCAAGATACTAGGTATTACCTCTACTATAATATAAGAGATTGTGAGTTATGATGTCACTGATATCATAAACACAAATTAATGCTGTGTGTATCACTAGTCACATTGTACTATATTTGCACCATGTCACTAAAAGAATTTTGGACATTTTAGCTC